GTATATATATACGTATATATATATATACATATATATATATATATATATATATATATATATATATATATATATATATATATATATATATATATATATATATATATATACACTCAAACACAACATACGAACACAGGATACTTATTCATGGTGGCCTGTTCGTTTTATGAGAGATACGTGGGTATTTTTTTAAATAAAACAAATTACATTTATTAGTGTAAGTGCATTAGTCTGTTTTGTGAAAATCAGTTTTATATTATCTTTGCCATAAGACATTTACCCTCCCATCGGTCAAAAGAATATAAAACATGAAAGCTTTCTGTAAATAATGGTGTCTCGTGTCATGTTTATTTTTAAGGTTTTTTGTATTTATTTTATTAATTTTAAATACATTTTCTTTTTATACAGTGTCATTCTTTAGTAAGTAATTTATAAACAAATAATAATAAAGAGAAGTAATTGCTTTTTAATTTGTTAAGTACAAATCTATTAAAAAGAGGCTTATGAGGATCACTATTTGACTATTTAAAAAAGGGAAATAAGTCATGGAAGTGGTTTGAACGTTTGCTTATCTTTGATAAGTTTCATTGTAGGAGAAAGATGACTCGGCTTTCACAGTGGTTTAAAAACGAAGGAAAAATTAGCGTGGGGTGGTGTCTATAGAATAAAGATAATCCAACCGCAGCTACGGTAATCTTTTTTACAAAACGAACATTAAGCCAAAAATGCAAGAACATTTTTTTTAACTATAACAATTTTTTTTAATGGTCGGCCGTGGGCCCCTAAATGGCGTGGGCCCCCCCGCATTGCGGGGTCTGGCGGCACTGTAGTTCCGCCCCTGGTTAGGGTTAGCTTTGGTTAAGACACATTAAACAATAAAAGTCATGAGGCTATGAGGAACATGTATCAGAGACAAGTACAACATTGACATGTTTGACAACAAGGTCAGAAACAAGTATAAGAACCAGGTGCACGTTTGAAATAAATGAGAAAAATATTTATGTCAGCGGTTTATTGTACAATAAACGATGGCTTAGTGGCAGAGATTATTGGCAATTGTCGTTGGGTTAGGGTTACTGTCAGCTCTTATTGCCTGGCTCTTTATTGCTTCGCTGGGCGAATACTCAAATGTATGTATTTTATGAGAACTATGTTACACACGTACATATACATACATACATATACATACATGCATCTATATCTATATAATAATATATATGTGAATAATAGTATATATATATCTATATATCTATATATCTATATATCTATATATCTATATATATATATATATCTATATATCTATATATCTATATATATATATATATATATATATATATATATATATATATATATATATATATATATATATATATATATATATATATATATATATATATATATACAGGGGCTCGATCACGGAGGTGGGTGTACCCAGGTCGTGTAGGCAAAGTACCACTCCAGTTCCAGTGATGTAACTGCTCATCAAGCAAAAACCCGACTAAACCCTCCAACATCCCCACCCCACACGACTGTAAGGACACCACGCATGCGCCAAAAAGACTTGCGTTGACAAGCTTTTTTTTCCCCATCTTGTCACGTAGGTTTAGTGTCAACGCGGGGTGAAATTAGTCCGCGGCGGATTGATTTAATAGATGTAGTTAGTCAATGGCGTATTGATTTGACACGCGTATTTAGACAACGGGAAACTGATTTTAAACGCGCTGTTAGTCAATGGCGCATTGATTTTTACACGTGTAATTTGCTAGGTCACCCCCAGAGGTTCGCGTGTTCTTTGTTGGTGAAGTTCCGCACATTCACACGTCGTTTTGACCGAGAGAAGTTTCGCTTACAGCAAGTTGACCGGAAATGATGTTACGCCGTTTGCGTCCCTCCAGGGACGTCAAAAAATGCCATCTCCCTTCTTCACCCCCCCCCCCCCTTTCCTTTCTTCGACCCCCTCGTTATAATTAAAAAAATACTATGGTCAATAGAATAGTGTTTTTTTTTTATCGTCACATTCCTTGACAACAAATCGCAACGACACAATATCTAGAACACCCCACCTCGATATATGTGGAACAAACCCCCTCCCTCACCCGCGATATATGTGGACACCCCCCCCCCTCCACCACCCTCGATATATGTGGGACAACCCCCCCTCCCCCACCCTCGATATAATTGGGCCACCCCCCTCCCCCACCCTCGATATATGTGGGACAACCCCCCTCGCCCACCCTCGATATATGTGGGACAACCCCCCCCCCCCCCCCCCCTCCCTCATCCCCACCCTCGATAGATTTGTGGCGCCATGCCTAGTTCATGATATTTTAACAAGGTTCTACTAACCTACAGCCGGGATTTTGTTAAGAAGGCATACACTTTTAAGCTAGCATACAATGTTAAGATAGCATACACTATTAAGACCGCATTGAACGTAAACTTAAGAAGGTACATCTTTTCCAGCATCTATATATCTACATGCACCATGGTAAAATTACAAAACTATCTCCTAAATAGGGAATGATTTATTTTATTTTTAGCTTCAGTACTGAAGGCTTGATGACGAAATGCTACACAAAAATCAAAGCTGTGCTGGTAGATTATAAATTTAGTTTTTTTATTAAATGATTGTGTTGAGAAGGGGATAAAAGGTTTTGAAAAAAATATTTGTAACAACACATGAATTTGGGTGCGAAACTAAATGCAGACAATTAAAGCTGTTCTGTTACACTTAGCAAATATTGCAAGTAGCTTACTCGATAAATCTCAAATTATTTCAACCAACACAATACTTACAGTGTTTACTTCCGTTTACGGAGAGATAATCCATACATTGCCCTTGGTAAGAACAATAACTCTAGTAATCCACGGTACAAACACTAACTGAACTAGAAAAGTGCAAAATGCCTCCTAATGCACAACACCTACTTTTCAGACATCTATACTTTAAGCCTACATCTTGTATCGAATGTATGCATATTTTATTTTTATATCTAAATATGAGTCACTATTTTATTTTCACATTTACTTAATTGTTTATATATATATATATATATATATATATATATATATATATATATATATATATATATATATATATATATATATATATATATATATATATATATATATATATATACATATATATAATTGATACCTAGTAAATTACTGCCGTGTTTTCGATGAGGTAGCGACATATCCCAGAAACACAATCATCAAACGATGTATCACTTTCAGCAAGCATTAAAAGCCCCGCCCGACTAAAGCGATCGTGCTGTAACCGGCAACCGATAGCCCCCACCATTACAGCATTAAGCCCAGCTCTCCCGGACATCAAGTTCACAAATAGTCATTTAGATCACGTGATTGAAACATCCGGGTTACCGCGAGGCCGTTGTACATAATGAAGGCCTGAGATGACAGGATGGGGAGTGGGGTAGATGTGACACGTCGGTTGGTAGCGAAGTGTTCGGATGGATGGTTGGTACCTGTTGTTTACGACATTCAAAATTCTAAATTCGGTAAAAAGTTGATTCGCTTCTAAACATATACACCTTAACAAACTATTTTAAGGGGGCGTAAGCTATTATTAAATCTAAAGGTGATCAACGCGTATTGTAATTCTGGAATTTCGAAATAACCATCGTGACAAAATCAATATTCCGATTATTTAAAAAAAAAAAAAATCGAAATCGAAACAAAACTACACGAAATAACTTCTCAAATTATTAAAATTTCGATTTTTAAAATAGATTACAAAATTATTTTTTTAAAATAATTCAGTTATGCTAAACAATCTCGGACGCATCGGATATTGTGCAATTCCAGAATTCTCTATTTCGACATTATCGACATGGTCCAAATTATATAAACTTATAGGTACTCACTTTTATGCCCCATATCCAGAATGTTCACGTGTAATCTATACACAACTTGTAATAGAAAAACTCTAAAGCGTTATTGTCTTAACGAAGAGTCAACACATACAGAGACTGCGCATCAAATGTCGGACCGTACATGTCAAAAGGTGCTGTTTTATACGAGAGATCACTCCGTGACCTTTCAGTGCACTCATACTGTGGAGGGATACCAACACATACGGGGTGGGTGTGGGGGGACTCCACTCAAGCCATGAGGTGGGGGTGGGGGAGGGGGGTGAGGACACCTCACACGCGTCGTGTTCAACAGCATGGCGGTGAGAAATCAATACGAGGCTGAGGTCATGTAGCGGAACCTGGGACCAATGACACTGGTAATTATGGTGGGCAGGTGAAGAGTTGGTGCCAGACTTCATTTTGTTTCATGGGGGGGGGGGAGAGGTGAGGGCGGGACGGTTTGATGAGCATGTAGGTCAGAATTAGATCAATAGATGTCATATTTGTATTAATATACACGCCATACTTATATTAATGTGGAGTTCATATTTACGTCAATGTCCACCCATCCACCATATACCTATATATCACACTCACCTCCATCCTCTGTATACTCAACTCATCCCACACACAACTGCGTATTTCACTCACCCCCACCACACACCTGTATTTTTTTCAACTCACCCCCCTCCCCCCCCCCACACACCTGTATATTCCACTTACCTCCCCCATCATTCACCTGTATATTCCACTCACTCCCCCCACCTATACGTTCCAATCACGCCCCCCCCCCCCAAACACCACCCACTGGCATATTCCACTCAACACTCCCCCGCACACCTGTACATACCACTCCCCCCCACACACAGTTGTACATACCTATCACCCCCACCCTCACCTGTATACTCCCCCCCCACAAAGACCTGTACATATCACTCACCCGACCCTCACCTGCATACCCCCCACCACACCTGTACATACCATTACTCACTACCCCCCCACACATACACACCTGTACAAACCACTTCCCCCCACCACCGCACAAAGCTGTACATACCACTCCCCCTCCCCACACACACCTATACATACCCCCCCCCCCCCACACACACACCTGTACATACCACTCACCTTTCTCCAATCAGTTTGACCCGGTCCGTTGACGTCGACTGCGCCGTGAAGATGGTACCAGGCGGCGAGTTCCTGGGACCGTTGGCCGCCACCACCGTCTGCACCGACACCTGCGACCGCTTCAGCTGGCTCAGCGTCCCGGTCAACGAGCCCCTCCCCGGGCCGTCGGGCACCCCGCCCCCGTCGTCGTCATCGATCTCGATATCGTTATAATGTTCGTTGTTGTGTGTTCTCACCTCCGCATCACCCCGACTCCCCCCGCCGCCCTCCGACACCCGGGCGCAGGTGAACTCTGTTCGCTTCGGCAGGTGAAAAACGCCCCCTCCACCCCCGCTGCCCCCGCCCCCACTGCTGCTGCTCCCCGCGAACTCCTCCTCTTCCTCCCCCTCCCTGGGCTCCTCCTCGACGATGGCTATCTGCTCCTGGTCGCTGTCTGCCCCATCCGCCTGGAGCTCGGACTTAGCGCAGGGCGTGTACCGGACAGACACCCCGCCCTCGCCTGGTTTCCGTCTGGTTAGCACGCCTGACATAATGGCCTCGGCCTTGAACCGCCATATAGGTCAATTTCAAGGTCAGTGGGGCACAATCTGTGAAGTAAAAAAAAAAAATTAAAATTATTTTATAGCCTCGGCCTTGAACCGTCATATAGGTCAATTTCAAGGTCACTGGGGCACAATCTGTGAAGTAAAAAAAAATTAAATCAATTATTTTATAACCTCCCATTAATTACTCGGCAATCCTTAAAGTTAATGGATATTTTTTTTTCAATACTGGAGAGCAGATCAATGCGATTATCGTCATAGCTTAGAGACTATCGACACGCGGTTTCTTCGGCGGTAATTAGTTTTGTTCCCAGAAGATGGGGTCACTATAAGACCAATGGATTAGGAATATAAATCACTGGCAAAGAGTTCAAATCTATCGGCACTATTTTAAAGTGTTTATACTATTTTTTTACTAAAAAACCAAGAAAAACGAACCAAACCAAAAGCAAAGTTTATTCATAATGAACACGATTCATTTAATGCTTACGTGAAGTTCTATCACTGAATCACTTAAGAAATCAACTGACCATTCTGATTTCAAATACTGTTTCCTTCCGTCGGAATTGACATTCGACGTAAAATTATGTTTTGTTTATCACTTCTTAAAGCTGATCCTGAATCAATCGATTATATCACATGCTTATACTCACTAAATAAACTTTATGCATAGACTCGAGCTCGATATCCGAACTTGAAACTTTCTGGTTAGTAGTCGAAAGCTCTACCATTAGACCACGGCGTCCCCCATTTCATTATTATATATATATAAAAAAAAAAACTAAAACGTTTTGAGTTCAAAATCAGTGGTGAAGGAAAAAAATTGGTTTGTTATTTCGGGAAGCTTTGCTATCTCTCCAACCTACTCTGCTAGCCTTCTACACACCATTCTAGTTTTAGAGGAAAAAATTCTTTCATCGTGTAACCAAGGGCGCTAATTGCGTCTAGCACCAAATCACTTCACACTGAATGACAATGGGAGGGGGGGGGGAGTAGTAGGGGGGGGGGATACCGATGGACATCGAGTCTGATCTGATGCACGTGCAATGAACCACTCACCCATCAAATATTCAAGCACCGTTTTAAAACCGCCACTCACGGCTTATCAGCCTGGACCCAAAGGTCAAGCGGTCATTTCTGCCCGACTCACGGCCTTCCATGTTGTATCGCCATTAATCAAATAGGCGACGGGCTAGTGACGGTAATGCTTGGGAAATGTGTCTCCAACTTTACGCAACGCGGTTCTAAAAATAAATGTACGTTTCGAGTCTCCTTCAGTTTTATTGTGTTTTTATTTGCTTTCATTATTATAAGCTTTTATTTAGTTCACACTAAAGTAGTTTTTGTGTAGGATGCAGAGTTTCTTCCATGCATCTCTTCGGTGGGGGGGGGGGGGGGGGGGGGGGGTGGGGGGGGGGCGAAGAAAGTCTACTCTTCCCCCCCCCCTCTCCCCTTGAACGAAATGGAGTTTACATAGAGAATATATACTTTTAACATTCCCCCCCCCCCTTCCTCCGGAAATTTCAAGTGACCCCGGAGAAAAAAGTCTGGAAGAAACACTGGTAGGATGTAGCAAAGCTTGTAGCTTAATTTTGACCCACTTCTAAAGCAACGATTTCAGATACAATCGCATCTGGTGACAATGCAAGAATATCTGTTTTTAAATATTATAGGGCTTGTAAGTTTCGGTCTCGCTTAAAATTCGTTAGCCAGGGAGAGATTAAAAATTTTTTGACCTGCATTAACAGTTGTGAACACGAATCACATTGATAAAAACGCATGGTGGCTATTTGTTTCTAGGCCCTGCTTCAAGATTTTAAAATACCAAAAGTACATTAAAAAGCAAAAAATTATGAAAAAGTTAATTATTCTAAAAAATCACATTAAGTAACGGTAAGTCTAGGCTATTAATGATATTATATAAATATTTTACTACGTTTAATACAAGATTCAAAACACTATGAAGGAAGGGTTAATAGATGCTACAACAAAAATCAAGACACGGAGAAGAAAGGGTTAATACGTGGTACCACAAGAATCAAGACTGTGAAGAAAGGGTTAATGCGTGGTACCACAATTATCAAGATACAGTGAAGAAAGGGTTAATACGTGGTACCACAAGAATCCAGACACAGTGAAGAAAAGGGTTAAAAATACGTGGTACCACAAGAATCAAGACAGTGAAGAAAGGGTTAATACGTGGTACCACAAGAACCAAGACACAGTGAAGAAAGGGTTAATACGTGGTACCACAAGAATCAAGACACAGTGAAGAAAAGGGTTAATACGTGGTACCACAAGAATCTAGAGACGGCAAAGAAAGGGTTAATGCGTGGTACCACAAGAATCAAGACACAGTAAAAGAAAGGGTTAATACGTGGTACCACAAGAATCAAGACAGTGAAGGAAAGGTTAATACGTGGTACCACAAGAATCAAGACACAGTGAAGAAAGAGTTAATACGTGGTAACACAAGATTAAAGAGACGGCAAAGAAAGGGTTAATACGTGGTACCAGAAGAATCAAGAGACGGCAAAGAAAGGGTTAATACGTGGTACCAGAAGAATCAAGAGACGGCAAAGAAAGGGTTAAAAATACGTGGTACCACAAGAATCAAGAGACAGTAAAGAAAGGGTTAATACGTGGTACCACAAGAATCAAGACAGTGAAGAAAAGGTTAATACGTGGTACCACAAGAATCAAGACACAGTGAAGAAAGAGTTAATACGTGGTAACACAAGATTAAAGAGACGGCAAAGAAAGGGTTAATACGTGGTACCAGAAGAATCAAGAGACGGCAAAGAAAGGGTTAATACGTGGTACCAGAAGAATCAAGAGACGGCAAAGAAAGGGTTAAAAATACGTGGTACCACAAGAATCAAGAGACGGTAAAGAAAGGGTTAATACGTGGTACCACAAGAATCAAGAGACAGTAAAGAAAGGGTTAATACGTGGTACCACAAGAATCAAGAGACAGTAAAGAAAGGGTTAATACGTGGTACCCCAAGAATCAAGAGACTCCTATTTGCAGTCTGGCCCCTAGCCTCTGACAACACTAGTCTTTCTTTTAAAGGTCAAGCTGGCTGATGACGTCACATGCTTTTCGGACCGGTCGTGAAATTCGGATGACATTTTGACCGCATGAGATCAATTCTACGTCAGATCATGTGATTTCGTGTTTAAGTCTGAAATATTTGTCCGTGTTTAGCGTTTGTCGTCAGTGTTTAGTGTTTGTGTTTAGTGTTTAGTGTTTGTGTTTAGTGTTTGTGTTTAGTGTTTGTGTTTAGTGTTTGTGTTTAGTGTTTGTGTTTAGTGTTGTGTTTAGTGTTTGTGTTTGGTGTTTGTGTTTGGTGTTTGTGTTTGGTGTTTGTGTTTAGTGTTTAGTGTTTAGTGTTTAGTGTTTAGTGTTTAGTGTTTGTGTTTAGTGTTTAGTGTTTGTGTTTGTGTTTAGTGTTTGTGTTTAGTGTTTGTGTTTAGTGTTTGTGTTTAGTGGTTGTGTTTAGTGGTTGTGTTTAGTGTTTGTGTTTAGTATTTGTGTTTAGTGCTGATGCTTATGTCCGCTTTGGGTTCGTCTAAAAACTGATCAAAATGTTTTGAGTTTTGTTAATTTACCACCAAAATTAAACAGATAAAAAATGTAGCGTTTGTTTTTTCTTCGGAAATATCAACAACAAATAATTACACCTCAGCTGATTTATGTATTAAGTTAAAAAAAATCAATATATTAATTAAGTAACGGGCATCGCTTGTCTGAATTCCCGGGCAATATCACCAGACATGCTGCGATATGTTGGACTGGACAAACAGGACAGCATGCAAGAAAACAGGACAGCATGCAAGAAAACAGGACAGCATGCAAGAGGCCACTATGTCACGAGTTTTTTTTTCAATCAATCACAACGTCACTCTCAGATAAAAAGGTAAATTCAGCCGAACATACGGCAGGTCAAGTCTAATTGTTATATAATTACAAAGTGATCGTGAGACCTGAGTGTAAATAAAAGGTGTAAAAGGTCAAATGTGTAATGCTGCAAGGACCTTCAGGTACCAGAGTTCTACCGACAAAAATCTCCTGAAAAGTCGCAGAATTATGGCACAGCAGCACCATGAAACAAGAAAGAGGGCAGTAAATGGATCAGAATCGATGCAATGCTGATCACCTTTAAATTTGACTAATACACTTTGTCATGGTCGTACTATTCTGTCATTATAAAGGTGTTGGTGAAGTTTGATTTGGGCATTGTATATTTATATTATGTTATTTATGTAGTATATTTTGGATATTCAATTTAAACATCATTTTTATAAATGAAGTGTATCAATGTAACTATTGCAGCCTTTCGCTAACATTATGTTTCTACAATGTAATATTTTTGAGAAGAGTTTAAGTATTTTAATGATATTATTTCGACCACCCATCGCGAATTTGTTTATTGCGTAGAAAAATGTGCCCAAGACAAAGTGTCCAAACAAATTCACCAATACCTAGACACACCTCAACTACAAGTATTCACTGACATCACGCGAGATATGCACTTTATCAACAAACTCGAAGCGTGTGCACTGTTTCATAGAACTATTACGATTATTAAAAGGGCTTTTATAATATTGTAGTGTACTTCATAGGGTACTGGAATATACATAAAAGCTTGTGATGTACGTAATTTGTGAGCACTGTAGTACCATCCAGTAGGGGACAACCGGTGTTAAATAACAAGAAGGGGTTGCTTCCCATTGTTTCCTGTGTGTCTGGATTAATCAATGATGTCAAAGTCAGTCTAGCGGAAAACACGCGACGGATATTTGTGTTAGTCATTAGCGATTGTTAAGTCTATCCGAACAGGTGGTACGTCTATCCCAACAGATGGTGCGTAGATCTATCCCAACAGGTGGTACGTCTATCCCAAAAGATGGTACGTAGATCTATCCCAACAGATGGTACGTCTATCCCAACAGGCGGTTCGTCTATCCCAACAGATGGTACGTAGATCTATCCCAACAGATGGCACGTCTATCCCAACAGGTAGACGTCTATCCCAGCAGATGGACGTCTATCCCAAAAGGTAGACGTCTATCCCAACAGGTAGCGTGTCTATTCTAATAAGTGGCAGTTATCCCATTGTTACACGCCAATCGACCAAAAAAAAAAACGCTAGTTGGATACACGTCGGTATTAAAGGAGGTGTGTGGGTGTGGATGTGGTGCGGGTGTGGGTGGGAGAGGATTGTAGGAGCTTTACTAAACAAAATTATTTTTCCCATACGAACAAAATTATTTTTTTTTACAATATCTCGCGGATGAAAATTTAAGTTCTTTCATCGCAGATGTAGATCAGTTCCTCACACCATTTGAAGGGGCGACAATTCGGACACCAATTGTCCACGATCTTCAGCAAAAGTTTTATCTAATATTTATGCTAATGTATTTTTTAAAAATAATAATAAACTTGTTAAATAATATTTAGATGAATCTAATCTTATTTAGCTACACTGAGTAGTCGGGTGTTAGACAAAACACAAATTGACAGAGCGAAAAGTGTTCAAAACTGAACTCAGCACGAATTGTAAATAAGGTGAATGTAGTAGTCGGATTAAATTTACCCGGAACTCGTAGTTGTTGGTAATAGAACAAACTATTTTATACCCAGGAAGACTAACCGAATACATATTTATGAGAGAGCCAGTCTAAAATTCGACACACTTAGATGTTTAGGTTTAAACAAACATGTACCCCCCCCCCCCCCCGGGGCGGACTCCACTCCCCTCCCCTAACCTCAACCAAGCCACCAAGATTAAGAACACAATTGAAGCTGACAGCTGCACTGACCTACAATCACCTATTTGGGTAAAACAACCCTCTTTATTTACACACAAACGCTTTAAATTTGAATACGGATACGACCTTGAATTTTGTTTTGTTTCAGTTTATTAATGAAAGAAGATGGTTTTCTTTTTTTTATAATAAAACTTGTTTTTATAAATATATATATAGATCTATAAATCATACGATACACACAAAAATAAAGTTTTCATAAAAGACAGAGGGGAGGGATTATAACAGGATTAGTGGCTCATTAAAAAAAACAATTCCTAAGGCTAACTAATTAGGAAAAGATTTAAAAATTAATTCTTACTTTCATCGATAAACCGCTATTTCCAAAAGGACCACGCCTTTTTCAAAAGTAGCAACGCCTTTTTTTAGAGTTCCACGTCTTGAGTAAGACAGCCACTGTTCAGAAATAAAAGTCTTTTCCAGAATGACCACGCCTTTTTCTAGATGGCCACGCCTTTCCGCGATAAACCACGCCTTCTCCAGAAAGGCCACGCCTTTTTCAAATAAATCACGCCTTTTTCCTGAATAGCCACGCCTTTTCCAGATGAACCACGCCCTTTTTCGAATGGTCCCCAGCCACTGTAGATATCAAGGCCCAAACATCCGCCTTCAGATCATCACCTTACAAGAGCAGCACCCTCGGTTGTCCAATCTTCTTTCACTCCCACCCCTCGTGGCTTACCCAGACACCCCTACTGTGATTCAATAACCAGGCCGTCTCTCTGTAACCGCCAGTAACAAGTTTACTGGAATTCTCTGGAAAAGTCTGGAAATAAACAAGTATTCCTGTTGATGTAACAAAAAAAAAATGTATTAAAATTTTATTATAAATTAAAAAAAAATATTCCAGAGTTGTTAAGGAAAAGGTAAGCTAAAATCTCGAACCGGTGGTGAATGTTTTGTAGAGTTATTTTTTGTGAGGAAATAGAAAGAGGATTATGGGACGCGGGCCAGATGATACAGTTAAGATGATGAAATTGGATTTCAACAAGGAAATGCCAGTGACATAAAAAACGTCTTGGCTTTTGTAAATCTATTTTTTTTATTTTAATGTAAAGATTTGAATATGAGGCAATGTGGGCACAATCCAGAGGAAAGTGAAAAGCTTCCAGATCTTGTGTCACGGAGTTTAGTTTTTTTTTTTTCAGTTTTAGAAAAGTTGAGGAAAAATAAAAAGTCGGAATTTCCTTAAGCTGTACAAGTGCTTGACAGTTTCTGGTGTAATAAAAGTTAGTAGTATTCATTTTGAAAAAATCATTTTTAAAAATATTTTGGACAGTTTAGTTACAAGTCGAACAACTGACGTTTTAAAAAAAATTTGATTGAACATTTTAAATAAAAAAAAAATTAGAATGAAAGATATTTTAAAGAGTGAATAGAAAAACTATTCGAACCTCTACGTTCCGAGTTCTATAGCCCGATTGCACTGAATGACTTCCCCAATACTTACTACTGCAATATAAGAATGTACGAGAAAGTAGGGGAACATAATTCCGATCCGAGAAAAGTCTAAAAGAAACGATAACTTGAGGCTTAATGTATCAGAATCTTGGGATGATAGTACTTCATTTTTGCAATCATTTCAATAAAACTGTGTTCTTGGTCACAGAACTAAGAATAAGCGGCAGTTCTGTGGTTAAATGAGGATGCTAATGTGTGGTTAGATGATGATGTTGGTGTGGTTAGGTGAGGATGTTGGTGTGGTTAGATGGAGATGTTGGTGTGTGGTTAGATAAAGATGTTGGTGTGGGGTTAGATAAAGATGTTGGTGTGGGGTTAGATGATGATGTTGGTGTGTGGTTAGATGATGATGTTGATGTGTTTTTAGATGGAGATGTTGGTGTGTGATTAGATTAGGATGCTGATGTGTGGTTAGATGGAGATGCTAATGTGTGGTTAGATTAGGATGCTGATGTGTGGTTAGATCATGATGTTGTTGTGTGGTTAGTTGGAGATGCTGATGTGTTGTTAGATGAAGATGTTGGTGTGTGGTTAGATGAAGATGTTGATGCTAACTCACTAAGGATATTCGGCAGTTATGTGGTTAGATGCAGATGTTGATATTAACTCACGTTGGCGATCAGAGTTCGAATCCCAGCCTTAACCTGAGACCCGACCAGCGAAATATGTGACGCTTGGAATAATTCGAAGCTGAGAATAGCTTGCATATTTGCATATCATTTGGCAGCCATCTGGCCAATAATCTTTCTTCCTAAAAATAGCTTTCATGCCGAACGGGCGACTAGCTAATGTTTTTCGTGGATAATGGTATGAATTTTCGCTTTTTTGAAAAAAAAAATTGCTTAAAACCCCTCACCCAATAACTTTCATGTTTGCTTAATATTTGAATTTAGGCAAAAATAGCTTACACATGTTAACGTTTCTTTAACTAGTAACTTTAAATTATTTTCATTTACAATAGAGTTGCATGACTAAAAACTACTGCGTACCTAATGAACATGATAACGCGCGTATAATAGTGCGGAATAGTCGGATAATACTGCCTACTATTTTGGACACCATTTTAATTAATTCATACAAAATTAATTAGGCACCCAATTAAGTCGAAATTAATATCGTATTGTATTGTCTTTATGTCTTGACCCACGTGCCAACTTTGAAACGAATCTGTCAGTTAGAAGTGCCCGAAATTTCGCTCGAGCGTTTCGATCTATGACGACAGACAGACTACAGAGACTGGACGAGGGAGCGAGTTAAATAAAAGATTGTAAAAATAATTAAAAAAACGATGACTTATTGTTATTCATCATGTGTCACCCTTCCCCCCCCCCTCCCCGCCCCATCAGTGACGCCATTCTACAAAACCCTCCTCCCTGCCTACTAAACGCTGATCAATGACGTAACATCCGCTAACAGCTAATTACCCTCCAGGTGGTCTGTGCGGTAACTCCACACAAAAATACAAAATGTGGGGCGGGGTGGTGGGGGAAGTGGGGGGTGACCCAGGTGTCGCAGGTGTTACTAACTATACATCTACTATCGTAAGAGATAATCGATAGCAGCCACAAAACGACAAGTGAACTTGATACCGCCCTGCCGAGTATCGATACTGGGTATCTGAGATCGTAAGAGATAATCGATAACAACCACACAAAAATCAAATGGACTGAATCTGACCTGTAAATATCGATACTGACGTATGTACCTCCTTCTGTACGCGCGATTTGACAACAAAAAATTGTGGAAGTTTATGAAAATAAAACTTATTATTGGTGTTGCCCCCTTGGTTCAAGTTTCATTATTTCAAGGTTATAGCTGTATAGTAATAAATAATTTTCTTTAACAACTTGCACATTATATTTTTGCATTCAAATACCTACAAGCTGTTCTCTAAGTTCCTGCATAGATCTAAAGTCATACAATATTTTTGTAACTTCATATATATATAACTCTACCTTAAAGATCTATAACCATACAATATTTTCTCTAACATCATGCATATATCTACATAGATCAATATACAATATTTTTTCTAACTTCATGTATAATTCTACACCATAATATATTTACTCTAGCTTTCTGCACAAAATTATACTCTGAAGATCAATAATCATACAATATCTTTTTATCTTATTGCATATAAGTATACAGATCTATAAACATTCAATATGTTCTCTAATTTTCTGTATATAATTATACCCCGAAGATCAATAATTATATTACTTTAGCTATAACCTTTAGAGTTAAGTAGTAGGCTTTTAACAAACAGGCGAACGGTTTTTAACTTCTCTATATAGATCTATTTCGAGTTGAGTAGGCCCTACATCTTTGTGTTCTAGTGGTTGCTCTACAATTAAAGGCAGGATATCGAAACTGCTTTTTTCCTTTGGTATTGCTAAACCACATCTCAAACTCGCGTCTTGACCTATCACTAGCCTTAACCTTATCCCAATCCCTAACCCTAGCCCAAACACGTGCCCTGATTTATCCCAGCCTTAACCTTATCCCAAACCCTAACCCTAGCCCAGACAAGCGCCTTGACCTATCCCTATCCCTATCCTTAACCTTATCCCAACTCTAACCCTATCCCTAGCCTTAACCTTATCTCAAACCCTAACCCTATACCTAGCCTTAACCATAGCCCAATACGTAATTGTATATCCAACAACGATAACAGCATACGAAAAAAAAATATGACTGCGATGCGTAGATACACGTTTCAACAACATTCACATTTTTCTACAACCCTACAATCACGGTTAATGTCTTAGTTGCTTTAAATAACCGTTTGAGGCAAAGTTAGATTTGTAAATAAATTAGACCAATGGCATAACTCAATGCCCTATAGATCTATATTAAAAGAAAAGAATTTTTTTTAAAAAATTACTTGTCCTTTACCTGTTTTCACAGAAAATAAAAAATTTTGATTACATTTTTCTGTTCTAAGTCACGGAAGTTCTATCGGGCTCAGTGGTACATGTTTCCAGTACTTTTTAAAAAAAAAAAAACAAACGGGTGAATATCAAATGTTCCCAAAACTTTTGTTGAAAAAAAAACGTGTGAATATCAAATGTTCCCAATGATTTTGTAGAAAAAACTGCGGAATTTCAAATGTTCTCAATGATTTTGTTGAGAAAACCGGGTGAATACCAAATGTTCTCAATGATTTTGTTGAGAAAACCGGGTGAATATCAAATGTTCCCAATAATTTGTTGATAAAACTGGGTGAATATAAATTGTTCCCACTCGTGTTGTAATATTTCATTCACTCAATCAAACACAACACGTGACCAATATAACGACAGTTGTTGCAATTTATGAGGCTGCAATAAAAGAAGTGGACTTGACCCATTTGTATTTGAAAGTAGGCTACACTGTATGCAGTGGCGTAGCGAGGTCGGGTATCACCCGGTGCGGCACTTAATGATGTCATCCCTCAGAGGCGTAGTGGCCCTTCCCGGGGTAAACATTCAAATTTTCGATTTGCACCCCCCCCCCCTCAAACGTTCGATTTGCGCCCCCTCAAGTTTTTCTCTATATATTTTGATATTTTTTTTGCCTTGGTTTCACCCCCCTAGATGGTGTCACCCGGTGCGGTCCGCCCCCCCCCCCCCTCGCTACGCCTCTGACTGTATGCCAGCTGTATTATATGTCGAGTGGTTTGAATGTTGTGTTTTGTATACTGTTGTGTTTTGTATACTATTGTGTTTTATATATTACCGGTATGGTATGTTGAGATTTTTGTATGTTGATTATTGTACTTTGCTGTGTAATTTATGCTGGTGATATGCAAGTTGTTGTGTATGCTGCTTGTATTGTATGTTGGTGATATGTAAGTTGTTGTGTATGCTGCTTGTATTGTATGTTGGTGATATGTAAGTTGTTGTGTATGCTGCTTGTATTGTATGTTGGTGATATGTAAGTTGTTGTGTATGCTGCTTGTATTGTATGTTGGTGATATGTAAGTTGTTGTGTATGCTGCTTGTATTGTATGTTGGTGATATGTAAGTTGTTGTGTATGCTGCTTGAATTGCACGTTGAGTGGCGTGTATGCTACGAGCGTTATATTCTGCTGTTTTTTTATGCTGTGTGTATTGTATGTATGTTTGTGAATAATATTCTCGTTGTTTACTTTAATCGTTTTTATTTTTCAAAATTGAACTACTGTATGGAGGATAAAGCGGGAGTGATTTCCACAAAACTTTTTTGTATAATGAATTTTTTTCCCAACTGATTAGATTTGCACAAAAATTATTGCGGTACAAAAAATAATTGAACGCAAACAATGTGTGTACAACTGTTCTTCATAAAGGAAATATT